GCTGAGACTAGCTAGCTCCTCCCTCTCTGCTACACATAGTGGTGCAGTGAGGCTGGTGGTTACTGTGTGATCTGTGCTGCTCCAGCAGAGCTCGGCCCATCTGATCCCAGCTTGTCTGAGTCTGTGTCTGTGTATCTGTCCTTTTCTCATTTCCTTGCCGCGACCCCCCGACCAGATTTCCAGGACCGAGCCATGCAGGACTCAGATGGTGGGTTCTGGTCACCTGGACCCAATCCCAGCTCTACTTTGCCAGTAGTACCCAGGCTAGTCACTCAACATCTCTCTGCCCCAGCCTCTTCTGTAAACGGGAAAACCAAGACCTCCCCACATGCTTGTTAAGAGAGCCCATGCATATGAAACAATACATACTCTACATGAAATAAATACCAACTTGTAGAATTTTTATATTTTAGGCATTAAGAAAATATTTTACAACTGAAATATCAAAAGAGGTGGAGACACGGAGAGATTCTTGGGCTTTAAAAGATGAATTCCAGTATAGAATGTGGCCCATCTGATAATCAGATGCAGTGACACTAGACTGCGCCCATTCAGACATATGCACTTCTGATTCGCCTGGGAAGATGCTTAAAGGTACCAAGAGTTTTGGTGTGTGTGTGTGTGTATGTGTGTTATTATAATAAGTTAAATCCTCATTCCTTTCTTCCTGTCTCTGTCAGCGTGCTGCTTTCTCTTATGCTATGGTCTGTAAATGTATTTCTCTTCCTAATTTGGCTCTGTTTTTAGATCTAGCTGTGAATTCTTTATTCTCTCACATAGACATATGACAGTGGGGGAAGAGAGCATGCATATTTCCTAAGTTTTCGCAAGAAATCTGTCTTACTGTCTCCAGAGAGCGGAAATTTAGCAAGGAGCACCCAGTAGTCCCAACTCCCTTCAAACTGTATTCAGTAGCATGTTCAGTATACCACACGCGCCAATCAGATATTTGTCATGAGTGCAGTGAAGGCTTCAAAGGTGCAAGATGGGATGGACTAGTATGTGCAGAGGGAATCCTACATCTTGGGATTCTTTGGGCGCCATCTTTTATGGAACCTCACCACATTCTCTGCATTTTTGTCATACAGGCCCTGGAACCCTCCATAGCGTGGCTAGACGGCCCTAGGTATCGCATTTCTGTGGGCAGCCCTAACCAGCCACCGCCACAAAGGTGAGTATAAATCCCAGCTCCTTTGCTGTGGGGCTGTAGCATTCTGGGGCATGCAGTTTGAAGTTACCCAGAGTTCCCTCTGTGATCCAGCAGCAGCCTTCCGTGTGTGGCTAATGTAATGAGATCCCCTTTGCTGCCTAGCCACCACCTCCTGCCCTTGTCTCTCTTCTCAGTTCCCCGGCACCTTCCACATCTCAACCAACCACTCACTGCCAAGTGCCTGGTTCTGGGTCTTTTGGGGGGTCTTCCAACCCAAAATGGTTTGTACACTTTTCCAAGGCAGAAGTCTAAATTTAGTTGTCCAAAATCGCTGTGCACCCTGAGTTGGGCAAACATTTGGAGCTAAGCTCATGGTGAAGGCATACCTATTAGAATGTCACCCTTTGGAGGAGTGGATTAGGGCCATGGCCACGTGTTCCCTTTCTCGTTCGTCCTCCTGCAGTGCAGCATGGCCAGTTTGTATTAGAGCACACTGCACTGCGCTCACTGTGAACGTGTGTTTCTGAGCATGGCTAGGCCCCCAGTGACTGCGCCTACCTGCTTTATTTCTTCTGGGTGGGTGGGCAGGTGGGTAATTGGTTGGTTGGTCGGTTGGTTTGGTTTCTTGAGACCGGGGCTCACTCTGTAGTCCAGACTGGTCTGGAATACATTGTATAGTTCAGGTGAACCTCAGACTCATAGACGTCTCCTTCCTCAAGCCACCTGAGTGCTGGGATTCCAAGTGTGAGCCCCCATACTGAGCCTTCTCTTCTATTTACAGGCCTCCCAGATGGAAGCTGTTTTCTAGAACCAGCCCAAGTAAGCCAGCCACCACTCTGGTCTGAGAAAACCCTGACCTCCCGTATTCCCCACTAGTGGGGAAACTCAGTTCTACCTTAAATTACCTTAAGAAAATCAGCGTGCTCCTTGTCGCCCCTTCCAGCACGCCAGTCTGTCCCTTGGCAGTCTGAGGCCCAAACGACACATCCAGCTAGGCCACTGTCATTTCTCCATCTCCTTCCTTGCTTCATGTCATCATCTCTGGGTGCCCAAACACACAGTACACCAACAAAAGCTATGCGACTCTGTTTCAGAGCAGATTAGCTTTGGAGAAAAATGCAATCCTGGCAGAAGACAATTAATTCATTTGATTCCATACACATGGTGCCCTTTCTACCTCACTCATAGGCAATTCCTTAAGAGTGTCTTATTTTTGTTTTTAAACTCATGAGTTTGTGCTCAGCAACAAGAACCCAGACAAAGAAGCCATGGCCATGTTCTTATTTACAGAGGTTGCCGTATGAGAAATTAATGCCTGCTGTTGCTCAGTAATTAGGAAAATTTAGGGCCCTAATGCTCCAACATCTCCCATTTAAGGTTGTATGTTATCTGTGTTTTCATGAGAATTTGTTGGATTTCTGTCATTAATAACAGGCATAAACCCGGCAAACAGCGAGACATGGTTACATTTAATCAATTGCTATTTGTATTCATTATGCATGTCCTCCATTTTGAGTCATGAAAAATTGAAAGGCCATTGCCAACAGAAAGAGGATCATGGATTACAAAGGATGTAACAAGAGCAGAAGTGCTATTAATTGGTCAATTGTGCCTGTCAGCCCATTTAAAGTGATTAAGGCGGAAAGATTAGAAAGGACATGGATGTGCTTGGGAGCAGGAGCTCAGGAACACTGGGGACCCCTTCAGTCCCCAGTGCCCAGAAGAAAACAACAGAACCAAATGATGTTTATTCCAATTTCATTCAACAAATAATGGATGAGCACCTTCCATGTGCCTTAGGCTGTGGTGAACCCAGCAGAAAGCAATGTAAATGCAGCCTGTGACCTCAGGGTGACATTCCAGTGTGTTCAGAACAGATCGGTGTACAGTGCAGTTCCCATAGTGTAAGCCACAAAACCCAGCAGCAGGAGGCCAGGAGCACAGTGATGGCCGGGGAGAAGGAGTCTGGAAGTAGTGTCTGAAGAGAGGTTAAAGTGAAGGATGCGAAGGTCTGTGTCCATCACCCCCGTCTCCTTCCACCATTCAAGAAAGAAGGACAATTTCTGTATTTATAGCTCCTAAAATATGAGATGGCGTTCCTCGGGATCTCAGATTTCACAATGGTGAGGAAGGGAAGCACGAGGCAGGTTTAATCTTTATTTGGGCTGGTGTATGGCCCCACCCTCCCTCATGATGCTGGGCGGCAGCAGTGGCCCACAGCGTGGTCAACTACATCACCACGAATGTACATGGATGTTCTGAGCTTTCTGGACACAGCTTTCAATAAATCCCATGAGATACTCAACACTTTCCTAAAAGTAGTCTCTGTGTGGGAGAGCTCATGAAGTGTTAGGCTAGTGAAGTTTTCTGAGCATAGGTAAGACAGGAGCCAGGAGTCCTGTAGGTTGTGTGTACTAAAAGTATTCTTGGGACATTCTTAACCTACCCTGTTTTATTGGGATGTAACCCCATCATAAGCTGACATAGAAGGCTTTGTTTTTGTTTTGTTTACTTATGGGATTAGGTGAAACACAGCCCAATGGATGGCTCCCAAGACAAGAAATCTCACCCTATCGATTTTCTTGTGTGGACCCTTCTTTGGTAGCAATTTGGTTCAGGTAAACTGGTGGCTGCTTTTGCCACTGTAACTGTGTGCTTCCACACTCTTGCTTCTCATTCACACCACCCTTTCACCAGCTTTTGGCTTGTCCCACCTTCAGGCTTGCCTTGTCCCTGCATCTGCACATATGCTGTCTGGGATCCATGGAAACCCAGTCCTCAGTGCCCCAGCCACCTCCTCAGGGAACCCTTGCCACCAGGGCTCCATGCCCAGGTCCTCAGCAAACTTCACTTTGCTCTAATTAGCGCATCTATTACAACCTGAGTTAGATGCTGTCAGCGAACCTACTTCTCAGCATCTTCCACACTGCAGTCTGAGTGCACTGAACTCCAGTGTGTGTTGCTCACATGCAGTGACTGCACCGTGGAGGGCCTGAAGGAGCTGGCGTGGGTAAATGAAGGACCATGTCAAGAAAAAAGCATGGGCTACTGGGTTTATGCTTTTTGTACAGAGAGCTATTTAAATGTTCCCCTGAGAGCCACATGGAAGAAATAGGTGTTTATTCTGACCAGTGTTCTCTGTGGTGACCAGGCAGCATCACAGCACAATTTATTAGCATACATTTCTAACCCCCATACCATGCCTTCTTAACATATGAATTTACTTCTACTGACTAAAGTGCCGGGGCACTGTCTTCACAAGATGAGCAAACCCAGCTGAAGCCTAGTAATTGAGTACCCAGCAGCCCTGCTGTGAGGACTGGCAGGCTAGGACTCCTTGCTTTGTCAGAGCCTCTGGGTGGTGTGGCAGAAGGAGGTGGTATGGCAAGATGTCCAGAATTCCAAGTGCTTTGCAGCTGTCTGCTGCTTATGACTCACAGCAAACTTGTGAGCTTGTCTTGTGCTGAAGATGCCAGATGGAGGAGGCCATGATGCTTAGCTACTAGCAAGAGCTGGTTGTCATTAGGAGTTGTTCTGTACCCACCCGTACCTTAGAATCATTGGAACCAAGTCCCTGCCTCAGGTCAGCTGAGTCAGGACTCTGGGACAGGGATTTCACATCTCTCCAGAATGTTTTGAGTTCTAAGCTCTGCTCTTAGGCAGCCATGTTGAGCCCCATAGGCCTGTTAGAAAAATGGCTGCATAAAGGCCAAATCCAAACAGCAGCAGAAGGGTGGCCTTAGTGGACGGCAGGTGTGAGTCAGCAGTGGGGACATTTCTCCTTAGTGTGGACCTGCACACAGAAAGCAGGGTTTCCAGCACTCTCAGACTGCTCGTGCAGCAGGTAAATATTGCACTTGCCTGTCGCCCACCCCTCAAGGACTACTTTTAAAATCACACATAGCATTTATTAAACAATTATTTTCCCTGTATGGGGCCAAATGAGTGATTATGGTTTTCTTATACGCCATGTGTTGAATGTTGGACACTTAATCAAATAAAGAATTCTTATTAAGACATAGTCTTTCCTAATTAGGGAAGCAAGTGGGTCCACAGTATGGCCTTCAAAGAGAAGGGCTCGGCTTGCACTTGGAAGCTGTTTTGAAAGCATGGGACATCTCAGTGTCAGTGAGAGTGCTCTGAATCTCTCCACCTGGACTGTCTGCACCTTGGGAAAGTTTAGACCTGGGGTAAGGTACAGTCTTCTAAGTAAAACTGAATTTGTTATTCAGTTGACAATGAGTTGGTTGGCCAAACAAGCTAGGGCCCCAGGAAGACCACCTCAGTACAAGTGGCCCCTGAGGAAGACCTGCCGGTCTGTAGCTCTCAAGACCATGCTCTTCCCTATGAAGTACAGTTCTGCATGCAGAGCTGTCTGCATGCTGCAGTCACCCAGAACTTGAAACATGCCTGTGCCTGAGATGCTTGGGCAGAAAGTGAGCTAAGGATGGTGCTGAAACTGGTCTGTGTTTGGAAGAACTCGAGTGAATATCACATGCAGCCAGGCTGGGAAGTACTGGTGTATTCAGGTGAGTGACTGAAACAGACAACAAGGGAAGTCACTCTGATGGCATGTACCCCAAGCTCCAGTTCTCTACACCTCTGTACGTATCAGCAAAGGGCAAGGACCCCAAAGAGAGCTTCAGTGGAAAGGATGAACCTATGTCCAGGAAAACACCCTGTCCTTTTGTTGACTTCTTAATCCTGACTCTGCAGAAAAGGCACAGAACATGACCAAATAGCCAGAGGGTGCAGACTTCTTGTTTCTACACACACTTGGCCCTCTGTTCCCTCCCTCCTAGAGTAAGTGATAGGAGAAGCTTCTTGGAAATGAATGCTTGAGACTCAACGACTAAGCCAAAGTGAGCCTGTGCAGTTGGATCCGGAGTGTGCCTGAAGCGGAGCTTGGGAGCTTCAAGGCAACACATACTGGGGTCTGGGTTAACTGCAGAGCCCCATATTTGTCCCCAAACTACTTATGTGATGTCACACTCCATCTTTTCCAGAACTCCTGGAACAACAGTGTTGGGAAAACACTCAAGAGCTCAGCTGAGCTGGGATAGCTGTTGAGCAGAAAGTACACGGCAAGCTGGGATGGAGGTGTGGTGGGGGAGGTGCTTATGTTCCGTGTGGCTAGCCTCTCACACTCTGAGCTTCATGCCCAGTGTGCTGAGGAGCGTCTGTAGGCAGTGACCCCTCACATAGAGGCTGAGAGTGAGGGCATGGAGCAGAGCAAAGGTGCTGTGGTCTGGCAGGACAGGTCATGTTCGCCCCAAAAGCCAAGCATGCCTCCAGAATCCATCAGCTGGCATCTGGATTTCTGTGGGCAGAGTCCAGAGTGACTTCCCACCTTGCCCTTCTCCCTTGAGGCCACTGTTCTGTCAAAGCTGTCCTCTTTCTTGGTGACATTGCCTTGTTTATACTGATTTTTTCTCATTACTACCAGAGGGAAAGCTAGAAGGTGAGGAGGAAGGGGTGACTAGGGAAGAGGAGCAAGGAGGCCCCTTGTGCTTAACTGAGCATGGGGAGACACTGGTGGTCAAAGACCAGATGGCCTCATGTGTGCTCCCAGATGGCTGTCCCCAGCCTGTTGACCTTCCTTACACCTACCATGGAAGCAGGGTGCTGCAGTAGCCCTGGCATCATATTCTTATGTAGTCATACTGGAAAGTCCCAGGGAGCAGCCAGCTTCCCCTCACCGTCCCCTAATCACTGAGGAGAAAGTTTCCAGAAACAACTTGTCCTGACTTTGCAACAAAGGAGGGGATTGGCCATTATGTGATACCTTCCTACATAGCTGTAAGTAATCTGGGCAGCTGGCTCTGCTTTAGTCTCTCTCTGCCATCCCCTGTAAAGGGGGGTTCTTCTCCGTCTGGTCCTCTACCTCTCCTTAGCCTGCCGCCTGCCATCTGTGGAGGCTGCTATCACTGGGTCTTACCCTTGCCCTTGGTAGTAATTACTTTTCTTATCACTGTGACAGAATGCCTGACCTGAACCATTTAAACGAGTAAAGATTTCTCTTGGTTTCAGTGGTGCCGATACTTCACAGGGAGGGGTGTAGTGAAGCAGAGCAGTTTGCTTGTGATGGGCTGGAAACCGAAAGGGCATCCAGGAAGGAGTCCCTGGTGACCTGCTTCCTGGATCCAGGCCCCACCTCCTATGTCTCACCACCTCCCCATAGCACCTAGCACCATCATGTTAGGACCCCCTCATGCTCTAATCACCTCTGGGAATTCTCTCCTACACACAGGCATGTCTCACTAGTGCTCAATCAGGTAGACATGACTAACCATCACCAAGCTCGAGGAGACGGCTCAGCTAGCTGTTGAATATCAAACAAGCATGAGGGTTTGAGTTTAACCCCCAGATCTTGTGGGAAGCAGGAGGAGGAGGAAAAAGAGGAGGTGGGGAAGCAGCAGCAGCTGCAGGTATATGCAGACCTGGTGCTGAGGAGGAGACAAGAGGGCCCCAGGAGCTCACTGCCCTGCCCATCTTCAACAGCTAGTGGGTTTCGGGCACAGTGAGAAACCCAGTCTATAAAGTGGAGACTGAGGAGGAATCAACCTGACATGAACACATACACATGAGTCATACACGTGTATGTGTAAGAGCCAGTTATATTTTAAGTTTTAATTACTGTGCCTAAAAGATCCAGAAAACAAAACTGCCTCTGATCTGCAAGCCTCTTGCTCAAGGACAGACCGTTCCTGAAATGCTGGAGGCTTTGTTCACTGGGATAACAAGCCACGTGTTTCCACTCCCCTAAACAAGTTTGTTTGGTCCATCTGCACCGAATGTGCTTGACCACATGTGGGTGGGAGGTTCACAGGCAGGAAATATGTCAGGATATATGCTTGTCCCTGACTGGATGTAGGCTGGAGGTACATCAGGATGTATGCTTGTCCCTGATTGGACCTGATGGGAATGCAATGAATTTGTTTTCCTTCTTAAGCTGCTGCAACCCATGACTTGGGGTCATTTCCCAGGAACCTGGGTATGGATCTGACAAGAGCCCATCTACCTGACCAGTATTTAATTAATGCTAGCTTCCAGTATTTGGCTTTAACTATGGTAGTGGTCTTATTCTTGATCAGTGGGATTAACATATGCACACAGATACACAGATTAACCGTTGTTTTTTTAGACTGTAGACTGAGTTCATGTTCCAGAGGGAAATACAGGGATACGGAGGATGTTCTTGATAGGTTTCTGCTGCGGTAATAAACGCCATGACCAGAGCAACACGGAGGAAAGGGTTTGTGTGAGCTTCTGACTCTCAGGTCACACTCCATCACAGAGTGAGGTCAAGGCAGGAACTGAAGCAGAAGCCATGGAGAAATGCTACCTGATCCTCATGGCTTGCTCGGCCTACTTACTTGCTTAAAAAAAATAATTTATCTGTCTTCATTCTCTGTATATGGGTGTTTGGTCAGCATGTATGCCTGTGCATCACATACATGTAGTGCCCAAAGAGACCAAGAGGAGGAGGCATCAGATTCTTGCCTGTAATTGGACTTGTAGATGCCTGTGAGTCAACATGTGGGTTCTGGGAATTGACTATAAGTTCTAAGGGAGAACAGTCAGTGTTCTTAACTGCCGAGGTTCTCCTGTCCCTCGGCCTGCTTTCTTATACAACGCAGGACCACCTCTCCACAGGAGTGGACTGAGCCCTCCCACTTCAATTAATCAATCAAGAAAATGTTCCCCAGATGTGCCTACAGGCCAGTGTGATGTGGGCATTTTTAAGTTGAGGGTTCCCTCTTTCCAGATGACCCTGCCTTGTGTCAAGTTGACATTAAAAACTGGCAGCCCAGAGGAACCTAAAGAAGGCCACTGCCTCTCTAAGAAAGAGAGGGACCACAGAAGGCTGCTGCCTCTCTAAGAGAGAGGAACCAACAGAAGACCCCCACCTCTCTCTGAGAGAGAAAGTGAACTACATAAGGTAGCTGCTCTGAGAGAGGGACCCACAGAAGGCTTCTGCCTCTCAGGAGTGCTG